AATATATAAAAGATTCGTTTTCTATTCACTAGAAAATATATATCACAGTTTGTTTTATAAAATTAATATAGTTTGAAGTATATAGAGTTCTCAAAAAGTTTAGAGTTCTTTTTCTCAAGAAAGATACAATGTGTATATTTTTTATTAGAATATAATGGCACATAAATCCTAAAACATTGGTACTCTAAAATTGAAAATGATGAAATTTTAGAAATAATATAAACGAATAGTTTCCATAATTAGATATTTTTAATATTATGTAGTTGGACTTATCTAATGCAAACTCTTTTTTTTGATAAATAAGTATATTTTTATACACAGCACCTCATTGATACATGTATCTGTGAATAAATTTATAATAGACGATGCATATATAGATTCTGTTTCGTTCTACAGCTAATGTGATCACATGTGGCTCAATGGTGTATGTACACTTGCTTTCTACTCGCTAATTTACTTGTTCTAATCTCATTTCTATCATTTTAGAAACATTAAAATTTAAACTCTCCGTTGGCCTGTCGTTAGGTAAAGACGACCGCTAGGCAATATTGATAGCGAATCAGATCAAACCTGAGACGGATTGTAATACATTTTATAAATTTGAAATAGAGGCATTTCTTTTATCGACAACGTATGGAAAAAATTATTGAACGAGCATACAATCGCCTCTATAATGAAAATGTTAAAAATCTTACTGATTACATGTTTTCAACGCGTGATACACGTGCTATTGAATATTTTGCTGTAATAAAAAATTTACTTCAACAGCTATATACGAAACCAATACTAAAAAAACTTGAAAGACATGCTCGATATATGTGCAAGATGATAAAATCAATGCGATGACAATTATGCAAAGCTAATATTGCTGTCTGACAAACTGATAAAAGCAAATTATTTTTCTTTATGGATCCACATGAATCTGAAGAAAAAATTAAAAGTTATATAACAAAAACAAACGCATATCAAGAAATCACCAATGGCATTTATCCATCAGCAGATGATTTACATTCTGTGTTAACTTTACTTGATGATCTATTAAAGCGTAAAAAATAACGAAAGATCAATATAGACAAATATATCCAAATCTAAATACATTAGAATTTGCTCATATTTATTTCAATCTTAAAGTACATAAGGTAAAACCGTTAGTTTGTTATCTAAATATTTTTCTATCATACGTTTCTGGTGGCCTGAACTATCAGTTTGACCTATTCTTGCTTCAATTAATGCACCAGCTAGATAAATATTCGGTTTTCTTGATCAACTTCTTACTCCAATTTATAATCATGTGACACAAGATATTACATTCATCAATAGTATAGATCTCACCTGAACAACATTATCTATAACTTTTCATGTTGCTGATTTATACACAATGATACTACATGATGGCACTATTGCTGCTTTAACGCGACTCTGTAAAAGCTATTCAATAAATGTAAAAATTGGAAATCTCAAAATATAAACTATTATTCAATTAGCATGTGTTGTTTTAGATACCAATTCATTTGCTTATAAAGATAAGTATTATCGACAAATTAAATGGTATGATGCCTTATTTGAATTTCCGGTAGCTTATATCATTTTCTGTTGATGGATATAGAGGAGGTATTAGAGATATTGATTAATTGGTACAGATGATCATTCGATAGTATTTGAATGTAAACATCTATTCAAAAAATATATTGGTGTCACTTGCCAACCCTTGCTCGAAAAACTCAATTCCTATACCTCCTATATTTTGATAAACAGGAAACTATAGGAATGTCCGGAAATTCAAATAAGGCATCTAATCAATTAAAGATGGTGCCATGGGTTCACCATTTGCTATGGTTTTAGCAAATATTTATATGTTAGAATGGGAGCAAAAATTAATTCAACACCAAAATAGACATCATGAAATTTATGGACGGTTAATTTTGCATTTATTAGTTACTTTTTTTATTACTCTAATAATCATAAATGTTTATAGATATATTGACGACATATTTATGACAACTAATTTATCCAAAGAAGATATTCTGAAAGAACTTGATGAAACCATTAAAACAGATTCAAATGTTACAATTAGTACTACTATCAGTCAATCATTAGAATATCTTGATTTTACTATTGAAAATATTAATGGACATTTAAAAATATCTATTTATCATAAATCAGCTTCAGAACCCTATATTCTACCTTATGAATCTGATCAGACAAGACACGTTCATGTGAATCTAATTTATATTGTATTAGTGCGAGCTGCACGTAACTGTTCCAATGTGGAGGATTTTGATATGGACCGATTAAGTACAGAAATGATATTACTAGTTAACGGTTATCCACCAAAATTTATACAACATCATATAAAAAAATTCTTTGCTAAATACGATTCTATGTGTGTATGGACTGAATTAAACAGTGAACTCAATCAACAACTACATAATATGTTACTTTACAGACCAACAAAAAGAGAAAACAAAACATAAATCTCGAGTCTTTGTCAATTAATTCGAAAAACGAAAAACTATGAACATAAAGACCAAATTTATCTTCATTACACGTTCGAAAATGAACCATTATTAAATTTCAAAAAAGAATATCATCAAATATGGCAAAAGTTCTGTTTATCCAGGATCACATTTCAAAAATACACGACCAATTCTTGGTACAATATTAAATCGTACTTTACAAAGTCTTTTGATACGCAGATAGCCTTCACAAGATACGTTGACCAGGATGCAACCAACCACAGAAGCAGCTCGTACAACAATGAAAGAACGGTTTAATCATTAACATTTGTTTCTTTCAGGCATCTCAATTGTGAAGAGTGTTTCCTTCTTGTTTGTTCGCTTCTTTCTCAGTTTTGTTCTCAATAGAGGATATTCTGTTATTATCATTAGATCTTGTTACTAGATAAACATTGTTTTTTTCTTCCTATTTATTTTTCTCTTAAACACGTGCAACATGTCGAATACGACCATTTATTACATTTTTCATTATTTAAGCTCAAATATTTGACCATTGAACATGTGAATCGGTACCATCTTCTAGTTCATGTTTCGTTAATTTTCCTTTTCCTTTCTTTCATTCGATATATGTTCACTTTGAAACCAGACGCATTTCATACTTTCATATATTCTAGATACATACTAATCAACACAATATCTACAAACAATAATCGCAACCACGTAATAGCAATATATAAGGAATCACTGTAAGCAAAACATAGTTATGACAAAACTGATGAGTGGCCCTTAAGCAAGACTGAAACGCGTCGTAAGGATGCTTGGTAATATAAAAATTCAATTTTATACACACTCACAATGAACCAGATTATACAAAAGAATACCGATGCCCCAGACAAACAATTTTTCCCTTGTTCGCCAAGCCGCACAGGAACACGTTAACAGTCAAATATAATTCCCTCTATGTCTCGAAAAAAACTATAAAAGCTAATTGTAGATTATTTCTTGTTTCTACGATCGTAATATCACTCAAAAAGAAACTCTTGTCTAATCATATGATGAGAGCATTAAGCAAGAGCGAAACACATCATCGTGTGCTTGGCATATCCGTGCCACACATCTGGAGAGATTCTTTGCCAAATTTAGACGTATTGTCAAAGCTTTACTTGATATTTCTTATCATGATGTAAAATATTTTAATTCTCAACGTATACTTACACACAAAAACAGTTAGAAGAAATATTAGTAGCGCTAAGTAGAAGTTAGGAATAATGAATCAATGAAAAAAAAGCTTAAACCAGCAATGGTAATATTAACAGGTCTGTAAAATAATGTTTAAATTGTCAGGACCTTCATTGGCGACGACGAAATCCAATTTTCCATCATTGTCTAAATCATTAACAGAAATTGAGAAAGGAAGAGATCCATAACCGGTTGAAAAAAGCTTAACAGTTGTGAAGGAACCGTTGCCATAGCCAAGCAACACACCTATGTTGTTTGTGCCATAATTAGCGACAATTATGTCCAGCAAGGTGTCGTTGTTGAAATCTTCAACAGCAACCGCGTTTGGTTGAGAGCTTAAACCGGTTGTAAACGTTTTCTGGCTTGAAAACGAGCCATTGCCCCGTCCAAGAAATACACCAACATTGTCACTGCCAAGATTCGCGACGACAATATCAAGTATGGTATCGTTGTTGAAATCACCAACAGCTACCGACCACGGAGAGGAATCAGTTGCATATGCCATTTGATTGCTGAAAGAACCATTGTCGTGTCTCAAAAAAACACCAATATTGTTATTGCCTGAATTCGCCACTGCTATATCAATTTCATTGTCATTGTTAAAATCTCCAATGGCGAATGACTTAGGGCGAGATCCATTGCCAGTTATGAGTCTCATTTGCTTAAAAAAACCTTCATTATGATATCCCAGATATATACTGACACTTTGCCCATTAGTATTAGTGACGACGATATCTAGTCGGGTGTCATTATTAAAATCGTCAACAGCTACAGATGAAGGACTAGCGCCCGTTAAATAGATCATTTGATTTGCAAAAACACCATTGCCATATCCAAGAAGAACACTCATAGTGTTGTCATTCCAATTAGTGACGACGATATCCAGTCGGTTGTCATTATTAAAATCATCAATAGCTACAGAACTTGGTCCAGAGCCAGTTGAATATTTCGTTTGATTCGCAAAAGAGCCATTGCCATATCCGAGAAGGATGCTTACAGTATTGCCACCATAATTAGCAACGGCAATATCCAATAGAGTGTCGTTGTTAAAATCACCTATAGCTACAGACGCTGGCACAGCACCAGTTGAATATGTCATTTGATTTGCAAAAGATCCATCGCCATATCCGAGAAGGATGCTTATAGTATTGTCACCAAAATTAGCGACGACGATATCCAATCGAGTATCGTTGTTAAAATCGCCAACAGCTACAGACCTTGGGGCAGAGCCAGTTGAATATGTCGTCTGATTTGCAAAAGAGCCATTGCCATATCCGAGAAGGGTACTTACAGTGCTGCCACCTGTATTGGTGACGACGACATCCAACAGAGTGTCGTTGTTAAAATCACCAATAGCTACACCCTTTGGGTTAGAGCCAGTTGAATATGTCGTTTGATTTGCAAAAGAGCCATTGCCATATCCGAGAAGAACACTTACAGTATTGCCACCAAAATTAGTAACGACGACGTCCGGTCGGGTGTCGTTGTTAAAATCGCCAACAGCTACAAAGTATGGGGTAGAACCAGTTGAGTATGTCGTTTGATTAGTGAAAGAACCATTGCCATATCCGAGAAGGATACTTACAGTGTTGTCTTCGCCATTAGCGATGACGATATCCAGTTGATTGTCGTTATTAAAATCGTCAAGAGCTACAGATCGGGGCCAGCCGCCAGTTGAGTATTTATTTTCATGACTGAAAGATCCGATGTCGTATGTAACCAGCAC